AAACGTAATAGCGCCGCAATACTATGGCAGTCGCGCCTCATGAAGCTTACCTGGGCACAAAATCAACTTCCAGGAGAAGCGTAACAAGACCTCTACACAAAGGTCAGCTCTAGACACGATGAGACTAATCTAAGTACGCGTACAAAATTCGCAGAATACACTGCTACGAAACGTCAATGCCACAATTCCTGTTCGATGAACATTTTCTAAGGCTTCTGTCCATTTCTTTCGCGTATCTGTGGTTTAAACTCCGATTTTACTGCAATCTTATTTTAAGACTGGTATCATATATTGCTAGTAAGTTTCTTTGTTAGCTATTTGTCGTATTTTTGTCCAAATCCGGGCTATCGAAATATATTCATAATATTTTTGTTTTATACACGTACGTAACAATAATATGTTTAGATACGTTCAGAATTATAAAAAAGGCTTTTCTTGCTGGCAAATCGCCAATGATTCAATGTCAGTTTTAGTGGCAATTCATCAAGCTGCTTATGTAATTAAGAGTTTAGCATACGTCGCGCATGACATTGGCTGGATGGAAAAATAAACACCATCATTTTCCACTATTTAGGAGCAATACCCAAATATTTTAATAAATTTTTTCTTTTTTATTGTGAGCAATGCCGGAAATTTGGCAGACCATATTTCACATAACAAACAAATACAAGCAGTAAACAAAAATCACAGATCTGTAAGATACACATAGTAAAAACTCTAAGATCGAACGCCAGAAACTTCGTGAGAAAAGATCAACTACAGGAACAGGCAATACAAAATGGAGGAGTGCATTTATCACAGGTAAACCATTCTTCGGAATACTGATACATCGTAGGACAAGAGCGGATCAGTATGTTTTGACGAAGCCCCTCGTTCATTTGTTGTAGATGGTGTAATAGTCCGAAGTGTAGAAACCATCTCGGGCATTAACCGACGGTGAGCCGGCACCGGAAACCGTCTTTCCGTTATTTGTGTTGCAGGCCATTTTTGATTGCGTCGTGCGAATCACAAACAGACAGCAAAAAAGAAATTTTCGGCAAATACAAAAGTGCAATTTTAGTGAAGAAAACTTTGGAAGCTTGATTGCATTGAGTTGTGGTGAACAGACCGGCTTGACGCTCACTTATATACTGCAGGTTGCAGCGGCACGTGCAACTCATCGTTGCCCCGGGTCTTGCAACCGATCGTCAGACTTTTGTCACGTTACGTTTGAACTTGTCAAGCCGGCAATGGGAATATCCTTTCATTAAAGTGTACAGTCATTTCACCAACGTGTGAAAGCGCTTGTTTGACAACTATTCTGTTGGCACCCACTAATTGAGTAACACTGATGCAGACGCAATGGCTGCGGTGGTTCCCGGTAAATTACCTGGACACGACAGAGTGAGCGGCAGCGCGGGAAGCCCGAGGGCACATGGCACTCGTTTCAAGATCATTCCCGCTTACTTACACATACGATAATAGCGCACATATGAACTACCCTAGCATGTAGTGACATGTACAAGTATTAACCTTATTAATTTACAAACAAATCACGAGTTTGAAACGGAAGGGTACTGTACTTGTATTTTTACTATTTCTACACGGTTTTCAGGCGCACGTTGCCAACACCTTAAAAACTGGTTCAAATACGTAAATTATTTTACGGTATCTGTGGGGGTTTCACGTTAACAGTGTTTCATAATGACGTCTGCTCTGGGTTCTCTGGAGCAGTTACCATCATAGTCCATGAAAGCCATTCGCTTTCTTAGGGGTAATGGTTCCCAACATCCCAGAACTGTTGCGTCGTGGTATTGTAATAAAAATAAGATAAATTTCCATTAATTTCATTTTTTTGGAATGGAATTAGCGGCTTTTCAACAGTTTCTATATGTGGTTTCTTTTCTCAGAATCGCCGCTCGCGAACGTCGAGCGTTTGATGTTCCATCTGTAGTTGGTAATATGCATGTGCTTGTTTCTTCTGTTTAACTACCGTATACAGAGTGTATGTGGCAAGATTTATAGACGAAACATTAATTTTGGCGAAAGTCCTTAGGAAATTTTTATACATATATATGTGTTTGGGCTCATTCGACATTTCTGTTTCCTCAGTTTGCTTCGTAGACCTACGAATAAGTTCAGCCTGGTGTAAGAATAATTATTATTAGTACTTTATTTGGAGTCATCGGTAAAGCACTTCTGTACATGATTACTCATCGGAATAATAAACAAATTATCAACGAGCCGGCATGGGCATATAGCGGCCCATTTCGGCGCTGGCGTTGCATCCATTGATTCAACTCACGTTGATTTTCTTTGAGCCGCTGAACACCCTCCTGTACGTTGGCTTTCCAGTTTCATACTTGTTCACAGGTTGGTACGGGACTGGTAAGTTGGAAAATTCCGACACCGTTATCCGGCGAAATTAACGGCAGTCCACTGGTGAACTGGCGCAAGCCGCTCTCATGCTCAGCAATATAGTTTGTGCGGTGCAGTTCGGGGTTTTAGCGACTTACAACATAAAACGTTTATCATTTCATTTGAACGAAAATATGATGAATAGCAGACTTTGGCAGAGCTGATTGAGCGGAAGCCGTTGTACGGAGAATAGCCTGCTTACCACAAATTTCCTGAGGCAGCCAAGATCAGCGTCCTGATATCGTCAGCTGCGGGCTGGGTACCGGCAATAGAGAACGTTATGAAACCGGTTACACCGAGGGTATCCGTCCATCGAAGCGTCGCGCGCCCGCCACGCACATTCGAACTGGACAGTATATTTGTCCAAGGGTTATACTGACTAGAAAGCGTAGTTTCATTGCATAGTACTTTGCCAGAAGTGTGCGAAAAGGCATCTATTTTTAGTTGCCAGTCAATGGGTTTCTTATTGTTACAGTAGTACGCCGAAAGAGACGGCATTCTGGCGTCTTTGTCAATGTACACAACGCTTCCGTTGGTGATTTCTCGTCCGCCGTTCATCAGGCGGACACGCCTTTCTCCGCTCGCACACGCATCGGGACAGGACAACTGGAAGTTCCATGTTGTGCCAGTTGTGCCAGCACAGTTGGGTTCTACACGTCCACGCGAACTTCAGAAGACAGACCGCGAAATGGAATACTGATGTTTCGGGTAGCGCCGACGCAGTCAGTGTCGTACATCATGTTGTTATCATGTGTGACGGTTATCCTGTCCTTGAGAGCAAATGTTTGATAATAAAAGTTAAAACTCCCGGAAGTTGCGCCCACGTTGTACCGGCGGGTCACCGGTGTATCTGCGCCTGTTAACAAATACAAGCACACCGCGAGTCATAATGCTGATATTTCAGAATATTTATTTGCGAATATCCAACAATAAGCAGTTTGCCTCGCTACATTGGGAATGCTCTAATCGACACATTTAAATGATCTGGTAAGTAGGCCAAACATGACCGCCACGTTGCTAAACTGCGAGGACATTTTGTCCAGACAAACTCTGTATGAAGAAGCTTGCTTTATAAAACTAATCTATTTATGTATTTCTTAAATGAAATTAATAGAAAACTAATGATTTGAGCAGTGCAGGTAACAGTAACACCTAACAACAGCCAGCAAGCAGCGCAAGTTATGTAAGTAAGCGGCGTAAATTATGCAAGTAATTTTCAGTACAGAGTATAATCGAATGTGCCAATATAATGCCGTACATGGCTGATATATTTTTTTTGTGGTGTGTTGCTACTGTTGAATTCCAGCTTACCGGAAACAGTGCTGGCAGCGTCACACGTATTGCAAGACGTGGCACATGCCGAATCAGGATCTGCATCACATTGTGACCCACAGGAAACCGCGAGTGAGTTACTAGGAGAGCCAGCCGATGCCGAAGCTCTTGTTATTCTGTAAGGTGTCCAGTTAACCGTTGTACACGAACTTACACCTGCTTCCGGACAGAGTGATTTTGGCATGCGAGCCTGTATTTCATACAGCGTGCCACTACCGACTCCGCCGATTATCTTCCGCTCTCCGGATCCGGGAACATCTGCAAGCGATACCGGCACGACATTCAGATTTGCGGTGTTCCCGAAACGTATTGCTAAACCATCCTCTGCATTATGGGTGTCTTTTTTGTTTCGACCAGTATCCGCAGCCGGTAGCCAAATGTAGAAGTAATGCAGTCGACCAGTCTCGACGACGAAAGAAGAGTCTTCTACACGAACGCCAAAATTTTTCAGCTCATCAGTTGTCAGGTTCTTTGGGGCCGCTCCCGCTGGACCGGGATCATAGCTTTCAAATGCTTTGATGTAGCTTCCGTTAGGGAATGTTGCAAGGTGGCTGATCTTGTCTTCCAGAACGTTATCATCCCGGTCGTGTGCTGTATTATACATTTGCAGACCAAAAGCTAAACCAAGTGTTACAGCAAGGATTACGGCAATGAGGGCAATAATTATACTAAACATAAGCCAGATTTTCTTTCTTTGCATTGTTAAATTTTAAGTAGACTAAACCTACAGTACTACAATCAAAAAACGGCAAGCCACAAGCGCAACTGCACTGCTTCGTGTGCTCATAGCCAGATTATGTTCTGGAAATGTGCTTATACCTATTTCATACTTATTGCACGTTTGCAGTAAAACCAGGGTGCGTATATTGCGGTTTGTAAGTGACGTAAATTCGCGTAAGCGCAGTTGCCAGTTAGCAAAATATGTGAATGCGTTTGCGATGGGTGTATATAGTGTGTATTACCATTGCGTAATTAACGCGAGTTAGCTAACTTTAGTCTTTAATATATAACCTGACGTCAGTGAAAGTACACGCACATTAGTGTAAATTGTGTAAGTCAACGCAAATTATGTGAATCTGTATAATTCAGTATTAGTTGACGTACTGTATGTCCATGTAAGTTATTTAGCGTAAACTACGATAGCTTACTCAAAGTAAGTAACGGTAAGCCTGTATTGTAAACTGGAGAGGCCATTGAAGGCAACGCAAATCTGCGTAAAGTAATGTACATATAAAACTGTAAATAACGGAAGTCTGCGCAAGTCCGTGCAATTTATTGTCCACTGCATGTCTCCATTTCGCATAAAACATTTAACCATTGATTTTTCATGAAACTGGTTTGCAGTATAAAGCAGCTAACGATAAACTTCACTGGTTGAAAGGAAATTTCAATGACCCTGAATTTGTAATTATATTCTTAGCTGATAAAGATCAGATTCCATATACTTCTCTGAAAAACTACCATAAAATGAAAAAGGAAAGACATGTCGATCGGCGGCAGGATTCCATCACACAACAGTATCGCTGTGCAAACCTTTAAGTATTCCGTACAAAATGTGTATAACTAGTTTCATTCCACAAAGAACGCTGGAGATGATAATATTACCGACCCGGCGGTTGATACTGAAGCATCATGAGAACATAGCCAAAAATTATGGCCAGTGCCTGCAAAAAGAAGCCGTGTTATTGACTCAGCGCAATCCATTTTGCAAAACAGTTGTAAATTGTAATGCAAATTTTAATGCTTTGTATTTAAAAAAGATGTCAAAGGCTGACCTCACCATTACCTGTACTTGCTACGTTAATTGCCTGGAGTTTAACAAGCGCACAATAATTGAAAATTATTTTATCGCTATCTACAGTACAATGCTCTGTTATCAGTACAACTATTGTGCGTACGTTAATGTATGCTGATTCTTCTATTCGGAAGCAATTCCAGGCGGTAAAACTGACATCCGTGGTTGTAACTTGATTAATCAGCAGTTTGTACTCCGAGTCTACTGTTCCATCCATGTCCGGCTGCCAGTTGCGTATCTGGACGATCACTTGATTTGTCTATACAATAAAAGACTGGCATTAACAGAAAATTTACGTAAAACGTAATAGTTAATATAAAACGAAAGATAGGTCTTAAAAACAAAATAAGTTATATTATTAGTTGCTTAAATTGGTAAGGTTGGAAAAAGCTATACTTCGTTGAATAGCGCGCCAAGAACAATAAAATATTAGCAAGGAAATTATTTTAAGAAAGCTTTTAACGGTTTACCAACTGCTTACAATACTGTGCACTCGCATAGCTTGCCGAATGACCAGGAAGAAAATAATCTCCAACGTGACAAACATCAACAGCGCCTGCAGGAATGCATGCCGGTCTTGGCCGGTCGCCCTTGTCCCGAATTTCAAAACAATATAGATAATGGAGCTATTGATGACGATAAACATGATGTAAATGACCAGCGTCATCACAGAGAAACACTCGTCCACCAATCCGGACAGTTTACACAGCATCCAGTGCGATCGGCGCACTTTCCGCAACGAATCCGGCGTCAGCTGTTTCTTCGCTCCGAGAAACGCTACAAATCTTTTCCACTCTTTCCCCAACACATCACACATTAGGGAGAAGAAGAACGGTACCGCGAAACAACTCAAGAAGGAGAAAAAATTCTCCACCCGAAAGACATATTTGAGCGAATTCAGAATAAACTTCTCCGCTTTGGAGTCGCTTGCATTGCGTTTCGTATACGCAATCCAGTTCTCGATTTTCACCAGGGGTGTATCAATACTGGCGAACGGATAACCCTCGTACGATTTCTCTGTCTTAATCTCATTCAGCATATCCTCATACACCAGCGTAAAAGGAATGCCGATAATCGCGGCGGTGACGACCGTCAGTGTCGCATGGACAAAGGCCATCTTGCGATGCGATTGGACAATCGCGGCCGGTGTGATGGAGTAATACTCGCGCAGCAGTTTAACCATGGGACGGATGCGAATCGTGGCAGTTGCCGAGACGACCATATTGACGGCGCCGATAAAGAGAAAGCTGGTCTGGATCAGGGTGTTCATCCCTTTTAACGTCAGGAACCTTTCCATTAAATCGGTTTTGCAGTAGGTTTCGTTGCTGTACATGATGGACTGGAAGCCGGCGCAAAAGGCGATGGGCCATGCTAAGGAGAAGCCGAAGGTGGAGACGAAGCCCAGCCACAGGAAGATACCGACGATGACGGTGTGGACGACTAGGGCGATGTTCCATGTCTTCGTTGTATTATCTTTTACCGCATCTATTAAACAGAGCAGATTATGATTGACACCGCTTTATGGAGATCATAGAGCGATTGCGAAAACCATACATCTGACGGATTTAATAAAATTTTATAAATGAAATTAATTTTATAAAAGAAAAAATAAATTTAAATCATATAAATTTATTAAGCTTAATTTTTGTATTTAATAATACAATATTTTAATACGCAAGAATAAAAATATTGTTTTTGTAAAACAAAGTATTGTATTTTTAAATGCTCAAGAAATTTAGAACTACTCGTATTAACAGAAAAATAACTAACCACTTTATGGAATAAGATCTGAACATATGTTGTGTAACTTGTACTGCTTATACAAATACAAATAGCAAACAAACAAATAAAAATACAAAAAGCAAAACCAAAATTGTTTTGAGAAAAAGAGCGTAATGTAAAAACGTATTGATATTTTTTATACACGTCCGCTGCCACCAAGGCACTCACTGGAGGAATCGAATAATCCCACTCTCGGACATAATCCCAATATCCGCAGTACCCAGAAAAACGGCTCCAGCCCCGCCAACGTATCCCTTGCCTGTTGCTCGGAGGACGGTCGGTTGACGAACGGATATTCCACGAACTGCTTGACACCGTCCACAGCGCCTTCTAGTGTATCACGAAACAAGCGGAATGTCTGGAAGCGTACGGTCGAACCATTGCTGGTGGTGGGTGACGTTGCTACCAGCGCCGTCCCATCCACAACTTCGATTTCCGCTGAATCCGTCGTACTGGACGGCAGCGACCGGATGGTCTGCAGCACAATGGATTCTTCGCGATCGTGATCAACAGCATCGTGTTCGCTGCGCTGGAGATCCATCTTGCGTGCCTTAAGAAACGATACAGATAAGTGTACCATATTGGAATTTCTTTTGCTGCACAGCATGCACACAAGTACGGATCAACCTCGTGCAATGGTTGTGTATTTAATGTATTGAATTGTATTTATCCGGAAATGCAAATGGGTTAGCCAAACAATAATGTGGATTACAATACCTGTTAATGGTTTGTTTGTAACGGAAGTCAGATCTCAGTAAACAGTATTTGGTAGCACACAAATCCACCGAAAATTAAGCCGCGCTAGATATCCACAGAAAAATGAGGCTTATCAAATGGCAAACGGTATAAAGCTTTACATACATTTTTGTTTGAACAGTTCTTGTCTAGTCGAATTCACATAAGGTGTATTCAGCACTGAAAGCGGAATACCGTATAACTTTAATTTCAGAATTTACGGCATGTGAATTGTTGTACGCGAAATATGTGTGATAGGTGTCAAAAGTGACGATCGTGGCCAGCAATCTGCAAAGGCGCTGACATAATGGCACTTGAAATTATTTGTTTTTAGTCCGCACACGTATCACTGCAATGAAATGTATCGGCTCGCACGGATTACATGGCATTGTCGGACCGGTAAATCATCGCGTTATTTGACTACCAAGTGATTTCATGGTCACACATGCGCTAGGACGCTTACTATCGAGTATCGACGGGTACATCGGTTGTTCACGCGATAAGCATATCGCACGGCAGATTATTTACACTGCCGTCTTTGTCAGCACGTGTGCTATTGTTTGCTATTGCCAGTACATATGTGATATTTATGCCTAAATTATTGTTAATTTGAATTAACTAATACACTACCATATTGCTGCCTGCCCGTTAATATATTACATATAAAGCGTCCAAGCGCTCCGAGGTACAAAACCACAATCGATAATGTTTTCTAACAGTCGATAACTTTTCCCAACTACGTAGAATAATTTAATAATAATAATAGAAGGCGCCATTCCAAACGGCACTCAAGATCCTTATTTGAGCATACATTGCAGTTAAGTTAAGGAAGATAACAGACGATCAAAGCAACGATGTTAAAATGCCGGAATACTACAACAATACGTATCGTATCTGTAGACGTTTAGCGGTACTGTAGTTTGTATACTTATGTAGTAAGTAGGTGGTTATCGGCGTGTGGAAAACAAGTTGGCGTCGCCCACAGAAATCAAGCTACGGCAGCGATATGCAGCATAATTTTTGAAGTCTTCACGTGTACAAGGATGTACATTGTATTGTACTAGCACAGTACTACTCGAGTAAGTACAGATTCAATAATTGTACACAGTATAGTAATCCTGAGTATAGAGGCCATCTCGTGCGTTTCCGAAAAGAGGAGGATTAACGAAAACGCCATCCAGAGAGATATACTGCAATGGCGGAGCAGGAATATTTGTGTCGACGTCGGTTTGGACCATTTTCTTGTCCAGGTTTGGCTAAAAAACAACGGAAATTAGTGAAAAAATAGTGGAATCTAAAAGTGAACTTTGGAGTTGCAGGCTTTGTTCAACGGAGAAGAAATTTGTATTTGAGAAAGTTACAATTCATTGATGGTCTGAGATAAAAGAAGACGTCTTATATGTAAGAATATATTTTTCTCACAAAATGGTTTGCCCTTAGGGTGACATTTCTCGCCCGAGCAAAACAAAACAGTCCGCTAATTACTATTATGGTAGCACCTATGCAGTTCCGTTACTCGCTTATACACAAACGGCATCGCTGATTCAACAGTAAAATAGTGAATCAACAATGACTGACATATTTGAATTCACGTTCAGTCATCTAAAAACTGTTTGTAACTGCTTTGAACGATTGCAACATGCGGAATGCTTCAGGCTACTCAAGCGACCACTCATAAAATTTTACGACCTATTATGTAGTTTTGTTGGTGAAAAATTGGACTGCAGGGCCGGATGAGTGATGCGGTATTGCGGTGTGTACCCGGACTTCCGGTGTTGTGGTGGTGGTTAATTAAGAACAGAAGCACAGCTGAGCTTGATCGATGACTGTGTACGCGTGAACTTACCAACATTATGACGTTGTTCGCTTCAAGGTGACAATAAAGAAAAGCCAAATACTGACGTGCAACGGATTCTACCAGAGAGGCGGTGGTGTAAGAGGATACAGCCAATAGTAGATTGCGTCAAAAGTACGACTGCTGTTTACGAGTTACGACAGACGCGTGAAACACGGGCATTTTTACGTAGTACTGTCTGCGAAATACTATTGCGTAAAATGTCTGTGATATCTGCGTGACCCGTAATGCCCGTCGTGAATTTAAATTCCTTTCATTTATCCTGCAGTATCGTCCTTCAGCTTATCCATGAGAGAATGATTCGTTACTTACAGGATAATATCTAATAAGTTGCTTGTATTTTTACTTTACAGGCTAACGAAAGGTAGCTCATGAAAGCTTCAATTAATAAATAAGCAACATACGGTACATGTATATCTTGCTTACGCTAGTGTGATACTTTTTGTCTTATCGTTAGTATTATTGGTGGCTAACAAGGGGACGTCACAGCATGAATTTAGATCGCAAAATTGCTTCTGCACGATTGTTTATATTGTCCTTATTGGTGTACTACAGCTGTAGTTATTCACTGATAATTTTGTAAGTCACTACCGGTTTGCAGTTCATTGTTTGCGTGCCGTAACGATGCCGTTAAACAAAAAAACGGCAGTTAGAGAATGGTACAATATTGGGTACAGCACAGTACATACAGTACAATACATCGTCTGCTGCTGTAGGGCATAAAACCTAAGCGGCACCGTTGCCGGCTTCACTGGAAATATAACTTTACGTACTGAGTATACAATTAATAGACAATTGTAACTGTGTTAATGGAGATCTAATGCCACGAAGCCTTTATTAGAAAATGCATGTGTTCCCAATTAATATGTAAATAACCGGGCTTGAGTAAATAGTTATGTTCTTATCTGGACTTCGTCACAACACACACAAAATTGAAGACCATTCTTTGCTTTTGCAAATGTTTTAATGCTTCGTAACTGTTTCCAGCGGAAACTACAATACTGTAGAAGTAATCAAAATCAACCCGCACGTGAGACGTTCAATAAATAAATTACAAAAAATTCTCATCACTAGCAATGTAAAAATAGCTAACATATGCTGCTATCACATCAATTTGATCCATTATCGGTAATTAATACTGGCGAATAATTCACGCAATCCCGTCGAAAAAGATTTAAAAGCTTAGGAGTTATACACCGTGTAGTAATCCGATGTGTAGATACCATCCTTGCGGGAGTTGTAAACGGTGTAATAATCGGAGGTGTAAATTCCATCCTTGCGGGAATTGTAGACAGTGTAATAGTCGGAAGTGTAGATTCCATCCTTCCGGCATACGATTGCCGCACTGCCGACGCTTGGGCTGTTAGCCAAAATGCCAGTCTGGATAATCGCCATTGCAAAGAAATAATTATACCGCGTAATAGGTGCAGAACACAAAGTGGCTCGAATGATGAAATTCTGTGGTTAATTTGCTCAGTTGCCGGAAAAGCTCATTGACAAGAGTGAAGAGACATTTCACGCGGAATTTCTTTATAAACCTAAACCGTACCACGACAGCATTACACGGCAGGAACACAAACACTGGCCGCAGGGAAATTGCGCAAAATCTGCCAAATTGTGATGAAAGTGCAGGTTGTTCACTTACACTGTCTGTATACACAGTAATACACAATAAAAAATTATTAACAAGTATACCGGTCCTGGTGCAATACCTTCTGACGTGGAAACCGCGGCCGTCAAACACGCTTTGGTCTGCGGTTTATGCGCGTGAAAAGCGAAGGCAACCCGGCGGCACCATGAGATCATCGCAGATCCGCCACGGTTCACCCGGCAGAAAATCCTTTGTCGGCAAATAAACCGATGATGCACAACAATAAAGGTGTGTGCAATGAGTAAGCATGTTTGTTTTTGTTATTAAGTACTATCCGAACGTGTCGTGCGTGTCGTGCCGCTATAACACATGTAATATTAGTGTTTGCAGTTGCTTTCGGTTTTCCTGATTTCAAATAACAAAGCAAGAACTGCGAAAAATAACAACAGACAACAGTTGTGGGTACCTTCATTCAATAAACAAAGGTAATTAAAGCCGAAAACTGAGAAGAGTTGTCATTATTAATATAAAAACACATGCATTTTTTTACAGAGAAACATCAGAATTGTGCATTAGTCGACGATGGATGGGGTGCAACTGTTTTTCTTGCAAAAGCAGTTGCTAAACAAAACTGGTCGTGGAGCAAATGTCCTTTGATGCCCTCAGTCCGTCAACAAACTTGGAGTAATAATGAATAATTAATAATCATTAATCAGAAAAATAAATTAAAATGTAAACTACCATTAAAATCGCTAAAATTAAATTAATTTAGAGTCAGAAGCGAAAATAAGTACACACCAGTAATATTCGTTCTAAATTAGGGGACAATATTTTTTTTCGCATACACAAACGGGATTATTTAATTTTAATCAAATGGTTACAAACTGTCCTTTCGGCAACTGAATTTCTTTCCCATTTTGCTTAGCAAAACTGGTTTTTCGTTTGGGATTTTGCTGTCTTGCATAACCAGTACACAAGTGATCTCGGATTAATGAACGGTGTGACACTTTACAACAGCAGTTCTTACTAAAGTTTATATGTTCTTAGGTAATCATGCCGTAAATACGGTTTAATCCATTGACAAAATTAATAAATTTTATGACATTTACACGGATATGATAAAATTTATGGTGTTATAGCTTTCATTCATAAGCCTTTAGGCAACAAAACCGTCCGTGTTGACTGTTTTACCGGTACTTAATACTACTTATAACGGTGCAAGATTTAGTGACAACCAGATCTGTTTTACGTCTAAATAACCGGTATGAACGTATCATTCGAGCGGGTGCGCTTTCGATTACTGATTTCTGCTTTACCAGCTTTATTTCGCTGCATTTATATCAAACTTTTTCTGGAGGCTGCATCGCGTGTTTGCTTAATTAATTTTACAGGACAGGAAAAGAAAATGGTTTTATACGTCAGCGGTTGTTTAAATAATTCGGCTACCTTGAACAATTGTCCGCTGCCAACCGGGATGAAAAAGGATGGACTTTACACATATGACTACTACACCGTCTACAACCAGCGCCGCTGTACTTTTCCTATTAACAAAGGATCCCCGGAGAATTTGGTTTTATGATCCGTACAACTGTGTCCGTTATTTAACTCTGATAGACTGTGATGCTTCATCTTGCGCAATACGATGATACCATTATAAAGTTTTGTACATTTGAGCAGTTTGTGTATTGTAACGGCACATGAGCATGGTTTCTCCCCAAGCTTTCGCTGTTACTTTGCTCAGTAGGAACCGTGATTCTGCCAGGCTCCTGGTGAGAAGTGATGTGAATACTGCGGCTTATTTCTACGACGGTGTCATCATTTCTAATTTGTTAAAAATCTTTTCACGAAGCTTACGTTGCTGTACTGAATACCTTAGTACAATAAGTAGAAGCTACAGAAGAAACTGGATAAGATGGCATTCAGATGAACATGTGTACCCGTGTAAAGAAATGTATACCCGATAAATTGATAATTGCATAATGCTCTTTAGTTTTATGTATCGTTTCAGTATTCGAGTACAATTACTATGAATGTCATTTAATACCACTGCAGCTGCAGCGGGAATATGCAATACAATGAAATCCTTTTAGCCTGTTCTTGTGCGGCATGTCTGCAGTGCAGGAAGCTGCACAGCGTAAACTCAAAGCAAACACGAGAATTCGATCCCTGATAAAACTCATTTACAAATTATTTACAAATGACAATCCCAGTTTTTACATTATTGCTTCCGATTTGGAAGAGGGCGAACACACTGAATATATTGGCATTACAAGCAAAACTATAGTTGTAATGCAATCCGAATTAAAAAAATTCAACTTGATGATACTAGGATTGCTCTTTATGACAGAACTGCAAGATGGACGGTGGCGTTGTGTATGTATTCCAGTGTTGCCTGAATGTCCATCTGTGATTCGCGAGTTTGATATAGCAGAATGAAATAAGTTATCAGCATGCCACACACCTGAGAAAGAGGAAACGTGCCATATTGAAATATCTCCGGACAAACCTGCTTTACGCTTTACATTGCACTGATTGCAAACTTACCATTAGAACATACTCTTTCGTCAAGTCGAAGAAACCACCGGCAGTAATTGTAGCTTTTCCGCTGTCGAAAACAGCTCGCAGTGATTGGCATTCTTTGTGGACCAACGGATTCTTATGCGGGTCAGATATGAGTTCATTAATGGCATCTCTTACAGAAGAAGCCTACAGTTACACACAGACGACGTCGATTTCGGCAAAGGTTTATTTCAGTACTGGTGTATTTATAGGTAAACCCTGTCGAGCGCGTACAAATAAATCGTAATAAAGAGATTTATTTTTCCCATGCCTTGCATACTACAGACGATCAAATACAGTATGTACAACAAATGCCGTACATAAATGCTAAAAATAATATTTAATTACTGTTGCATCAATGCGCTCAGTAAGTTTTTAATTAGATACACAGATACTCAGATAGGTACTGTATGTTTTTACCTGATCATGACAGAACACACACGCCGAAACCCGTATAACTGCACTGATAAGCGACGTTGCCGACGAAAACGACAAGTTAACCACCAGATATTCTCGGTACAGACGCAGATTATAAGCGGCTTCCGGCGATATGCCGGGATCATGGTGAGACGGCATTAACAGCACCGCCCCGAATGCCACCCAAATCATGACTTCCTGCAGGCCCACCACGAAGTTGATTGTCGAAAACACATCGTTCACGTCGTAAATACCGCAGCGCAGTTGGCGAATCAATCCGTGACCTTTCGCAATATATGTCAACATCTTGTCGTCATCCTTGCATTGCAACAACTCCTGTAAATGCCGCGCGAAACTGCGGAACCCAAACGCTAAGGGAATGACTAAACCCATGAAGATCGCTTGGGGAACCGTGCGAATGATACTCTTAACCACTTTCGTAATGATGCGAAAGATATCGGACAAAACTTTAGGCGGTGCAGTTGTTCCGAAGAAAAACAGTGTCTCGTGCGTGCCGGTTTTGGTTTCTGGTCGTTTCACCATGAAAACAGCGGGTACGAAAAAGACGATACCGATTACTGTTACAATGAAAATTATTAGCGTAAAAAGCTGAATCAGTCGGCGATGACTAGCACACAAAACCGGTGCCAGTAAATTTTCTTTGTATGCGTAAATCTGTGGGAGAAAACGGCTTTTCCACATCAATGTTGCGACAATCGCCAGGATGTGCAGATTCTCGGTGAAATGTGAAAGAAGAAACAGTAAGGAGAACAGCTCCAAATTGCCCAGTTCCTCTTCCTGTGATTTGTAATGGTTGTGCAGGTCATCAAGGGTGATGAGTAAAATCGCGCCGATCGCCAAAATCGACCAAATGCGCAACAACCTGAGCCTTTTGTTCGAATAGATCTTACCGTTAGCGTCATCCCCTTTGTCCCAGTAATACGGCATTAGACCCATACATTGTAACGTGCGCAGATAAAATGTGTCGAAGAATGACAAAAACGACGCCATGTCTCAAAATTTTGCTATTCAAAAGTAATGACAAAACTGTTGCGTGATGCAGATTGACTAGATGCAGATTTAAGAATTCCTCTTACGAAAAATGTTCTTCTGTTATTTAATTTCATAATTGGGTTTGTATTTGCACATTAGCCCGGTGGAATTCAGTTCAATCTGACGTAAAGCCGTAAAGGTGCACTTTGACAGATTGACAGGAATTTAGAGACCCGTGAGTTTAGTCAATGAATTCCGTACCTGTTGTAACCTGATCTATTTTTTCGGAATACTTAATGTTGACTTATCTATCACAAGTGTAGTAACTTAAACTGAATTCTCCCGATGACAATTAAACGCTGCTTACCTTAAATACTCGTATATCCTCTGGGCGCACGGTGTGCACCTACTTGAGCGAATCAACTAAATTTTAGCTGATTCGCAGAAGTGTACAGTACAGAGTACTAGCACGCTATACCATTACTCTCTAATGCCGATACATACAATTTGATAATCGATCATCTTATCATTTCATGGGAAAGTGCACTCATAGATTTCTAGGTTTGCGCGATAATTATCATCGTGTACGAGAGTTACTTATCGGACATTGCCTCTCGCATTATCACTACAGTGCGGGCACTATAACACACAAACCGCACGCCAATCTCCTTCACCTACTTGTTTGCTTCATCTGTATGTAGTTGCTATTCTTATTTTATGATACTGTTTTGCTGGTTTGTTAGCTTGTTTAGGTTTTTCTGATTTCCGAAGTATTTCGTTAAGGAAAATGATCAAATTATCTAGGATTTATTTCCGTACGCCGTGGAAATTTGAAAATGCAGCGGGTCGTCGACGTTTATCAGTCCTGAATAAAGCACGCTGGATGCCGTTCACAAAAGGTCCAGACGATATCATGACCGAAACTTTCAACCAGATGGGTTACAGCGTCGACATTCTAGACCCATACACCGCGTACTTCCTCCACAAAATGCGGAAGCCCACCCAACCAGTCGCTGATCTGGGCTGCGGTTTTGGAATCGTTACCAAGCATCTGCTCAACGCCGGCGCCACGGTTATTGCCAACGACATCTCCAGAGCGCATTTGGCGGAAGTGGAAGACAGCGTCCCGCGTGAACAGCGCTCCCGTTTGACTATCGTCCACGGGGATGCCAGTCAGCTGGACTTCCCGGCAAACAGCCTCAGCGGAATCATGGCAGGCCGATGGGTGCATTTCCTCACCAGCCCCGAAGCGTACTTTGACTTCTTCCATCGAGCACTCAGATGGTTGGAACCCGGTGGGAGTTTATGTGTAACGGTGCACACGATGAAGGCATGGAGTCCACCGGAGGTCTGTGCGGCGTATGAGATTAAGCGCGCCAGTGGGATGGCGTGGCCGGGATGGGTGTCGCGGGAGATGAAGTGGGAAGGGCTGCGGGATCGCTTGCCGGATCGGGGATATGCGTTTCGTTTGGAGGAACTGAAAGGTTTGGTGGAGGAAATCGGGTTCCATGTGGAGAAGTGCGGGTTGTATGGGTTGCGCATACCGGCACATCCGCCGGAGCGGCAGGTGGAGCTGGCGCCGAATAATACCATTGGTATTGTGGCAAGTAAATCTATTTCGCTTACGTAATCTGTTTCGATTTTGGACACTAATCCAAATTGTACATGCTAGTTTCTGGCACATTGTTATTGTCATCGGTAATTGTTGCGTTGTGTCGCGTGCGCGCACTCTGATATTTTTCTCTGTCGTTTCCTGCGTTTTATCTTTTGTGTTTAGACTTATTATTGGAAATAGTGCAACTGCAAGAGTCATTGCTCCAAATTCCGTTTTTAAAAGGCCCCATATTTGACGTAATAACTGTACTAACGATAAATAAAGTGTTTTTATTGTATACAGTGGTGACTAAGGAGTCTATGGAATGATACACATACAATGTACGACAAAAAGAGGTTGAACCGATCAGTCGGTCCGCGGTTCAAAATAACCTCGGAACGACACGCCACCACTAAAACTTGGACGCTTACTCACTACTTTCAGACGCTCGCGCTCCGTGAATATCAAAGTGCAGAATTTGTTTCTACACCTTTTGATATGCAACTAGTATAGCTGCACTTTGATATTCACGGAGCGCGAGCGTCTGAAAGTAGTGAGTAAGCGTCCAAGTTTTAGTGGTGGCGTCGTTGCGAGGTTATTTTGAACCGCGACCGCAATTCAACCTCTTTTATCGTACATTACTATAGAAATCTATACTGGTTATTTGACGACATTTTGACTGTACTGAAAACTGAATTCTTGACTGCATTTTGCAAATTTTGCCAGCATTTCAGCTCAAACAATTTATTCATTTGAGCTTTGATTCATTAAAATAATAAACGACGAGATCGTCGTATTAGCATCACAGCAAGAATAATTCTATCACTTTGTACACTATAAACAACTAACAAACAACATTTATACACAACATTTTCCGAGCTTCTCAAGGAAAGCCAACAACGTTCTTGAATGATTCAGCTGATGAAACAAGCTGACAATGACGTTTTTTTCCTGGCCAAATGACACGCATCCCGAGAAAAGAACTCGTCAGAATAGTATAAAACATACAAACACATGATATATTTGCGCATGATTACGTGGCAAGCCGTAGTAACTGGATATCTTCAACGGATGCTACCATTGTAGCAACTTCAATAACGGATTTTCGATAGGTCACGAGGGTAGTGAAGGCAAACAAGGACATGTGCTTCTTTTTTTCCATATCATTGATGTAAAACTGTTGTGAGCACTACAAATGCTTGTTCATTCCACGGGTTTCCTCATTTCACTTATAGTCGGAGTAATAGTCTCCAGTGTAGAATCCATCTCGGAAGTTAACAGATGGGAAACCATCAGAGCACGCATTCTTTGTGTCGTCCGAACAAATCCTGTGTTCCGTCCATTTTTCCGATATCGACATGGAGATAGTCTCATTCAGCAAGCTGGATAAGGTCATCATGATTGCTGTATGGTTGCGCGGCGCACAAAACAAATACGTTTGTTGGTAAACAACAGCAAAAAGTAGGCAGAAGTCAAGATTTGCTTACTACTGCTGTGCTTTTCTTGCGAAAAGTTGGATGTATTGGATGTATGACAGTTACGAATGAAGAACGTTTAAATACTGGTCAGTAGTTACCATCTAACCGCGACAATGAATAACTGTCTCATCCCGCCTCTGGGCTATCGCACGTCTATTGTTGCGTAAGTGATAGAACCAGGAATTGTCACATAAACGTGAACGTTAAACGGCCGGCATTGTGCACGTGCACATTCACTCAACGCTGCCGGCGTTTTTACATTTTACTCACCGTTACAGCCATTTTCACACCTCAACATGTTGCGGATTTCTCCGCAAACACCGTGCCTGGATGTGTGCATGTCTCAGTGAGAGCGGGAACCGGTGCTTCCGGTCGTTTGTATGTCAAGGTTAGTCAACTTCTGACGCCAGTAAAATTCGTTGAACCGCGACGTAGTGAACTCTGTAATGTGGCGCACAAACCACATTTTCGGAAAATAAGCAAAACACAGTCACACGACAAAATGTTCACTACGCGTAAATTATTCACTGCCCAAAGCAAACAACTTATTTCTATTTAATGCATTTTTGGAATTTCCAAGAAGTCATGCAAAAATCATGCTTATGAAATAAATGTATATTTTTTAAGGAAAAGGGGTGTCAAATTAATTAATTAAGGCCGATTAATTAATGAAGGCCGATGATTAATCTGTTACCAAACTTTGTCAATGCGCATTTCCACGATAACGCTGTGCTATCATTATTATGGAGAAATTACTAATTAAACACAGTTTAAATGCGATAGATGCCGACGCCAGCAACGCCAAAAACTTGGACAATTTCGTCACTGGGCAGAAGATCGCGTGCCGCGACTGGTGGCGCCGTCTGCGTGCCGGTTTCCGCTAAGGCCGACTCGGAGTGTGAACGGTTAGCCATCAGCGGAGCGTTTTGATGGCCATTCGGACGCGCTAACAGCGTGGCGGCGCTGGCTGTTCCCGGAAGTCTCCGGCGTGCTCTTCGTCCTCCACTCTGAAACGGCGGGAAAAACATAAGTTGTAAGCAAAGCACTGGTTACGCAATGCACGGAATTTAGTCTGTTAAACGGAGAATAATGACCGTTCTTTCTGTCAACGGATACAACATCGAAAACTGGTCTTTCAAGTTTATTGCATTGAACATTGCCAAACCTGTCAATCAAATTTGATGCAATGCGCGATAGAGGCTATAGTGCGGCACCGTTATAAAGCACACTGAATACCGGTACGCACTGTACTCAGCATACTGGTACTGTGAATCGTACATGTTGTACTACACGTAGCACTTACTCGTACTTCGCTAAGTACTTCCGCAAACAGTGTCCACACGATCAAAAATGCGTAGGCCTGTCAAGACATTATATTATTATTATTATTATGTTCAAGAATTGGATTTGTGTGCCGCCACATGCACAATTTACACAAATCGCCATAAGGAATGTGTTGACAAAAAACATCCAAATCCAATACGAATATGACGGATCCTGTAAAATCAACAGATAAAGTAACTTAAACTCACACCACCAGCTAAACAGTTAAACTAAGGCTACGCTTACGTTAACAAACGTAGAGAATACGTTGCCCGCTGTCCGGAAAAACACGAAAACGAAGTCGATGCAGAAATATGCCAAAAACGCCTCTAACTGGTTATCATTTGGTACCCCATCTTCCGGTCTTTCCTGTTAGAAAAAGCACTCGTAGCATCATATAAGTGATAACATTTGCAAAATATCGAATGCTGAGTAATTTTGCTGCTAATAAATTCTCATACTTGTCGGAGATGCTTGAACAGCACCGTAGCGCTTATCAGAAGCGGTATTGTCAGAGTTGCGGATAGGAGAGAAAAGAAGATCAACGAACTTCTCACTACAAAGCACATTCTTTGCTGAAACTAGTGCATACATGTTAAACCTTAAAATTATGAAGTTACGACAAATGCCGCACCTGCTGGTGTGCCGGAATAGACGAATTCATAACTGATTCCCCAACTGCCTAAATACACCACGTCATGACGCACAACGGCATAGAGATGCAGTTCGAAGATGGATATTATAAAGGTGACTGCGCCTATAAACTAACAAAATGGTTCGCACATTATACACGATGATAGATAGAAAGAAGTTTCTTTCTGTGAAAATGCGTTCAGTGGTTACAGACCATGCACGCCAGCAGGCACTGCTGACTGGCCACTATCTGGTTGGCGCTCCTGGGAATCAGTGGACGCACGCGGACCCGCAGCGCCCATTTCGGGATAATATGTATTAGGGGAATCATGATGGTCAGGAAATGGTTGCACTATATTACAACGAGTGCGGAGTAGGTGAAAATAAAGATGCCTACGCCGAATTCGGCATTCGCGTAATTTGCATGGTGAGTGTGGACACACCACTTGAGCGATGTACGATACCGGCGGCCTGGCCTTGCGCTAATCTGTCTTGTTTGCCTCCTTATGAGCAAGAGCAGATGGCCAACTGTCAACGGTACTTTGTACTAGTATATGCACTCTACATTTCTACTGGCATTCTACGGTCTCATAGAGTTTATTAGATCATAATAATATGTTGAGGTATAACATTTATTGCATCATAATATTATCATATTGAACAAACATTCAAAGTTCAGATCCAAAAATCTGACATACCGTATAACAATTTACGTTCTTACAAATGCATTAATTGTCTTACTTTACTTTCTTACTTTACTCTTACGTTTCTTACTTTACTTTCTTATTTTACTTTCTTAAAAATATTCTTATTATTATGGCCAACGCTTTTATGAAACCTCTAATTTTATTGAGCGATTCTCCCATGGAGTATCGCTCAAATGCATACACCAGAGATTATCATCCAGCAGTTATTACGTATCACAATAAAATGCAGATTACAAAAGTTAGCGTAAGCAGATTAAACTAACACGATCAGCGCTCTATGGCCAAAGACGGTGTGTTAGCATTATAGCGCTTCAACGGGTATTCGTCCGTTTGTTGGGTACTCTTCTGTCGCAATGACTTCTGAGCCGAAGAATCCTCCTGATATTTCCTTTTCTTCACGAACAGGTTCCTCAGTCCTTTCTTATATTCCAGGTTCATGCAGATAAAGATGGCCTAAACAGCAAACGCGGTTTCGTTTTGGTGCCATAACAATTTTATTTATCCTGTTAAGTTATTTGCGGTAAATTAAAAGTGCAGATACTGCCGTTTAAAGGATTCACATTACTAAAAAGTAAAAGCTATATAACTAACGCATAATTTTACCGGTGTTCCTGCTGAACCACATTGTTCCAGCGATCGCAACCAGACGTACGCGTAATTCCCCAAACCAGTGTACCGAATGAGGAACACCATTATCGGCACCGGCGCAAAACAGCCGATATTCCACACATACGTCACCGCCAGCAATTTGATAAGGATTACGTTCCGCCGGCTTCGCGGACTGAGGTTACTCGGCCGGCATTGCTGCAAGCACAACTTTCCCACGAGAATAACGTACGCTACGCCCTCTATAACCAGCGGCGTGGTCACCGACACTGCAGTCATTATTGTGGATGCGGCGGCCGTAGAAGGAACCGACGTGCACATTCCCAAAGGAAATTTCAAGAAGGCTTTGCCTCCCGGTTGGAACAGCGTCGGTAACTGCACCGCGAAGACCATCATCCACATAATAATGATGTACAGTACCGTCATGCGACGAGCGAATAGGTTTTGATAGTAATGCGCTAAAAAGGTAGCGACCAGGCGGTTGACGGACAGTGCCGCCGATGTCCAGTAAGTCATCGCAAAAGATGTCGAGCGAAAGAGTGCGGATATGTTACAGTTAACGATGGGAACGTATCCCAACTGGGTGGTCATGATCATTATGTAATCCACCGGAGCGCAGAGCGCAATGTTAAAAATATTTAGCAGCAGTAACTGGCCGATCAGTAGATTACAGCGACTGCGCCCAAATGAACGTCTGGTGATGACGACGATAAGGATGGCATTGAGAAAGGTTCCCAAGGTGCTGGTTGTGATATTGAAGCTGAACCATGCCCATAATTTGGGATAAGCTGCAATGGGAAATCCGGCAATCGTGTTGTTGAACAATATGGATGAATTAAGTTTTGTCAGCGTTGTATTCATCGCTGTGGCATTCACAACTCAGCAAATTTCTGGGACTGGTAATTTTGGAGAGTAAAGTTAACAACTATAGAATGTACTTTCTTACGTAACGCTGCTAATTTCGTCCTCGTTTTGTTTTTAAAGCAGCGGCAAATGTGAGGCGTTTCTTGAGAAACGAGATATTGTACTGGACGCAGAATTTGTACATTAGACGTGGCTGTTATGATTTACGGACGACAACGCTTCCGGTCGCCCACTTGCAAAATTCCACTAAAGAGTGTGACGTGGTTCCTTTAATCGCCGACTGGGAATTGACGTCTCGCTTGGGAGGATAACAATGACGTTGCCCTGCATGGATAGGTGCTAATCAGAGCCACCAAGGAGCAGTTGCGGAAACCTCCTTTAGGATCAAATGAAAACCTGGGGGTTAATTCTCTAGAAACGCCGGCTACTCATTTCACAATGAGACGTTCTGTGATCACCACGGGAAATATCAATTCAGGTGTAGGCTAATTTTACTGGTTCCTGGTAAACATGTTAGTATAATTCCTGATTTCCTGCAATAATAGTTTTCCGCAACTGCGTTGTGTGACGATTGCATGCCGGCGGCCAAACGAGCCGCACGATGACGCAATTAATCGCAGCAGCCGGAGCACTGTCTCCTAAAGAACATTAATGGTTTTCGCAAGAATACATACATTAGTACACAGAATAAGTGGAAGTATGTGCATGAAAGCAGATGAATATTGTCGCCACGTTGTGCCTAACTTTTTTTTACCATTGTACCATGGGAGAAGCTGACTGTGCACCTCGACGCTCGAAGCGCTAAACAAGTACTTCAAGTAGCGATGCTTTAAGAGCATCGTTTTTATTACACATATACAAAGAAGTTAATTCAACATCAAAATTTTTTATAGGTAATCAACACTCTTTAATGCTCGCGCGTCTTGCGATTCGGGAATTTCGAGCTAAACCGTTGCACCTGTTTTCGCGACAAAGACCTATGCTTTTCTAGTTTCTGCGCAACAGAATGATAGGTTCTTACAAGGAAAACGAAAATGCAGTGTAATCATGTTTCGATTCCGGGTAGTCGTATTGAGTGACCCTTACGAACAGCTGCTCAACGGGGTAGCGGCAGCACTGTGAATGCACAGCCTCACTTCGGCCTCTCTTTCCTCATTTTTTCATCCAGAGCATAAATCGAAAAGCTGCTTAATTGGGCAACATCTAACCGTTTCAGTTTCGCTTTAGTCCACTTGGTTTCCTGATCGTGGTGCTGACAGTCTAATAGCAGCTGCAACAAACACACAGTTGTGTTAACCGTCAGATTTATAACAGACTTGTGAGCAAAACGTAGGCACGCACCCATTCGATATCTTTGAGAAAATGAGAATTACGGCTTGGACGAACAACGCTGGTAATCCAATGCGACAAACGAGCCAAGTCCACACCGGGTAGGCCTTTCTCGAAAAGGTCGTACAGATCAGCTTTGATGTTTGCGGATCCCGGATTAATAACTCCATAAGGAACTGAAGCGGTATCAATATATTTACAGCGTACAGAGAGCGCGCATTCTCGCCACATAATTCCATCGCACACGGGTGACACACGATTGCAGGCGGATGCCAACGCCTTCACTCCATACAGCACCGATTGGAACTGCGGTCTGCATCGCCAAAACACCACCTTTAGTTTATTTGGTTTTTTGCGCAGCTTGCATAGCGCGGCAATTAACCGTAAAATGTCGCCTAGCCAGTCTCGATATTTGTAGTCCTGAGCATCGGTGATGACAATGGAAGATGTGGCGCGTGTGACGCATTTGAGGAGACAGAGCCCTGCTGTATAATCTTCGGAATGGTACCCGCGCCGTGAGTACGATGAACGCTGCCAGCTACAAGATACCGAGATGTGCTGAAAGGCCACGTCCCGGTTAAGCAGGAGATCCCAGAGCGCGCACACGCGGCGATACTGTGCTCGTTCGTCGGGTGGCACATACTGGAAGATTTCAGAGAGAATGCACGGTGGGAGCTCCGATAGCCGCGTAAACTGGTTCTGTACGCTTTCGTCGGTTTCAAATGACGTGGGCCCAAACGCGGGGCTGGTGGTTTTGCGACAATACAGTGGTTCGTTTATCTTGTTGGTAACGTCATTTACTGCATCCTTAATATGCTCCATCTGTCGATCAGCGCACGAGATTAGAGTACACGTTATTTTCTGTTTTCTCTTAACAATGTACCTACACACAGATATTTTGCTATACCTTTGAATGGTGGAACATCTCTCCCGGTATCAAGGTTTTTGGCTTTTTGCGTTATTAAATTTATTTTTTTGACGATACATACTCATAACTGTTACGTACGTACAACAGTACAAGCTTGTCCGGCAATTTCTGCCGGTTCAGTACAGCGAAATACACAAATTTGCGTGTTACGCCAAACGTAGTGTAGTAGCAATCGCTATAGCGCAAACTTCGCGGTAAATATGTGGTATCTGTACCTTTACGACAGAAATTACCGGACAAGCTTGTACATGTTGTACGACGAGTTGATACAAGCGTTATGTCGCGAGATTATGATTGTGTTGATTGTTTCCTGTGCAATGTCCGCTTAGCAATAGTGTTTCTCTTATTGACCTAGAAACTTAATTTGTCATCAGCTGAGTTATTTGTCGTCTACGAGTGAAAGCAGAATAAAAAGTGTAATACTGCAAACACAACAATAACATATATCGATATTTTACTGCTACCCAATTAATTTCATGCATGGTACGATAAGCATAATATACGTCCGCCTTACCATGTTTTCCGCAAAGTAAATAATTCGTTCCCGCGCTTCTACATACACGAGCGTTCCATCCAGGACACAAACCGGGTACACACGACCGCGCCATATCAAGGCATCTTTGAATCCATCCCACATATGCCACATTGGCAAATCGGTTCCGATCAGTTCTTGATACGTCTCTGGCAGCTGGCGAGTTCTGATTACAAAATAGTCGTTTATGATTCTCTCCTCGTCTTGCTCTTCGGGCGAGGATACCATGCGAATATGGCCGGCTGGAACTAGTACCGGTAGAGTCCCATGTTCCAACTGAACCTCGGTCAGCACAACGCTGTTCCAGTACGCACGCTGCACCAGGAATTTAGCAGAGTACCAAGCCAAGGGGCGGTCGAGGGATTCACGCATGAGCACTTCGATTTGGGCCGTGGCGTACTCTTTAAATAAACTATTGTACAGCTCGACTACCGGCGCTTGGAAGAACCAATTTTGAGTTCGGTAGACGTTCCCATGTTCGACCAGTTCAGAACGCCTTCCGGGACAATCAAAGTCCACGACGAGGCCGTTTTCCAAGACGTTGATGACACGACCGTATTCGAATTGACCCCGACTGTTTCGAACGTTAACAGCATTGAAGGTCTGTGGTCCATCGGTTGTAGATCCGTACACAAAGTGCATTATGAATCCGGGGAAAAGCAGTTCGACTGTGTCTTGCAAAACTCGACTAATTACGGCTATCGAGCACAGAAAATTTCAACAGTTAAAGCTGCAGGTGATTCATGCTGTTAACTAACAGTGCAGTCGACTGCGCTGGGGAACAATTAGCGGTTTATCCAGTCGAAAGCGGATTATCTTTTGTTATACAGTACAATGTTTTCAAGAGGCATATCTGCCCTTTAATTTCTTTATCTACAAAGTTATCATCTTGTTCTTGTTGGTACCTTACTATGATGTCAGGTTGCCATTTAAATCGCTTTCATTTAACTTTTGATTTGTTAAGTAAAAAAGCCTTTCTCCATTTTGTTTTGTGCGATACCACATCTTTCATACGGCAAACAAACAAGCAACTTTTATGTGTTTGATAAGGCATTAGAAAGGCACAAGAACAATTTCCAGAGGAGAACAAAATACGTTCCAGTCATGAGCTTACCATTAGTAGTGATGTGGTTTCTTAATGCTGCGAACTGGAAGGATGTCCAGATGGAAGGTCCTACTGCTTCGTTCCTTGGATACTGCTTCGTTCCTTGGATTCAGCTTCAGGATGTTTTTTTTCAGACGTTGCTTAAAGCACTATACACGTAAGAGATGGGCAGTCGTTTTACTGGCGAAAAGGCAAAACGATCGCCATGTCTAAATTCGGCCAGCGACATCCTACCTTTCGGATTTTCATGTTTTCAGTCTTTTTTTCAACGGCTAATAATACATTTATCTTCTGCTCTGTCAGCTTTGCTGAGGGACAAATTAGTCTTATCTAATTTCATATTACGTTTAAAAAGACATTCTTCAATCAAACTTGCTGATTGAATGTCTCGTCTCGAAATCCTGTTGTCTATTTGCATGCCGCAGCAGGCTCGTTTCTAGTGGGACGTCTTTTCCTGTTGTTCTACTGGTCACTGGGTTTCCTGTGGTTCCGTTGAGGCTGCAGTTTATCATCCAAATCATCGCAACCGCATGATTTTTATCTCGTTTACGTGAACTAACATTAGCATTGAATGAGTTTCAATACACTACTTATGCTTATCGGTTTGTTGACCGATTGTTATTGATCATAAGAACTACAACGGGTTGGGCGTCTGTGTGGACCAATTGAAGCGGGACGGTATTCAACAGTCATCGTTCGTTTGCAAAAATTCCTATGCAAAAATTTAAGTACTGTTCTCAGTGTACTATACGGTGTGTGCAAATGAGCAGCCAATAAGAAGATTGGAGGCGAGGCTGGCGCCACAACGAACAAAGCACCAAGCAAAGCGGGCCTACAGTACGTACCTTATTCGACTTTTCTGACACGAAATAGCATGAAAGATCCCATTTAAAAATCGCTGCAAAAATCACTGAACGAGGTTTTATCTTTATCATCTTGCTAGAGTGAACTTCCTAACCGTTTTGAATTATTAAAATCTGCAGACACTGTCATGGTTTTTACTCGTTTTATCGTTTCAAACTTTTATTGCTGTCTGCTGTCGAAAATGGATCGCCATTTTGTGATGGCTACCATTGTTTGGCTGCAATTTGCCTGCCAGGCCCCACTCGGGCGCAGTTGCCCGGTGCAGGTTCAGCAAGGAATTGGAATCGAGAAAAGTAAGTTGATATTGATCACTCGTCCTAAGAAACCTAAGATCAGACACCTCGTTCCGAATTTTAAAAACCTAACGGCGGCAGCCGTTAGGTCCTAGAGGAGGGGGGCTTATTTCGGGGAGGGGGCGTTATTTCAGGGGGTGGTACTATTTTTCAAACAGTATGTTTCGGAGGGGGCCGTTATTTTTCAAACCACTGCGCATCCTGTTCTATTGAACTGAACGCTGTAGATATCGGTATTTCCAGTTGCACAACCTTGCAGACAGCATTCTGGAGCATAGCACCACATTATTTTTGTGAGTTTTTACCGTTTATTCATTAAATCATAGCAATTATTATGAAGCAATTTGCGGTATATGACCGTATATCTATCATGTTGTGGCGCTTAACATTTAATAAGGCCCCCCTGGGCGGCAAATTCGGGGGGAGGCGCTATTTTTCAAACGAGTTATGGGAGGGGGGTTATTACGGAGGGGGGCCTTATTACGGGGGGAGGTGCAAATTCGATAATTACGGAATTTACGGTAATTCGGTTCGGTTTTATCCAATGAAATAACAAGAAATATTCCCGCTATCTGAATTTATGGGCGTGGTGAGCGTAGACCAAACTTCGAAGCCGACGCAACCGAATTGCGCACCCCTCGTTTCTCAGAGAGGCATTTCCGTATGGGCCTTGGGCCATACCTACATCACGGTAAAATATAGGAGTTCTCTTTTATACTTTTATATGGTTTCCCTTTTAAAAAGGATTTCTCTTTTTTTGTAAATCGGATTTATCTCTTTTATGCCGTTCCTACATGAAGAATTTTTAAAGAACCGTAGCCCGTAGGTGTTCAGGGTGTCAACCGTACGCGTACGCTCCGGAGCGGTCATTCAGGCACATCGAATTACCGTGTACCTGAAAAATGAGCATACACCGCTGACCGCGCGTGGTAGCACGCCATATATATAGTGCAACAATAAAATTTGAAAACCGTCAGTCACTTCCTTCCACCCACGTTTATTAAGGCACCCCGTTTATTACAGGCACCCGTTAAATACAAGGATGATATACTCATACGTATAAACTTAGTTAATCACGGGTGCGTGTTCATATATTCATTTAACACTGTTTTAATAAATCCAACCCCAAGAACCACGAGCAGTGAACAACCAAAGATGTTGGTTTTCTTCCCGCAAGTTAGCTTAAACGAAGGTGACCAAATGACGCCCTTCTGAGCTCGCGCCGCCGTTATCCGTTATAAAATCTAGGAATCGTAAGTAGATTGCTACAGTCGACACCAGTTACGCTTCAAGAAATAGTAAAATGATCCACATTCGCTTCCGGTGACGACACCGATGCAGCTGCCAGTTTTCTCAGCAACGTAGAAGAGGCAACTCAAAACTGTCAGCCCTGGTGAAAAGACGGTTATAAGAATTCCACTGTAAATTTTCAAGTACTCTGTTAAGATTAAGTTGTGCTGAACATGGTATACAATTGTACAAAAAACCGCAAGAAAATTGGTTCTGGAACAAAATAATGCAAGCCTGGCCACTTGAAGTTATGTCGCCCATTCATTTATCATAGGTGGCCACGAAGGTCTGTACGGGTAGTAGGATAAAATGTGTTATAGTACTTTATTGAATTTTCTATTTTCCGATGAGTATTACCCTACCGGTTTTTATGGTAATCATCTAAAGTCAGTATGGGAAAACATTCGGTGACGTGTGAGCACGTACATACATCAGAAATGCCGCCCATTGCGCGCATTAGATACCGATCCTCTCTAATACTGATCGCGGATGTGCTGCATCGCATGCTTATCAGTTGGCAGAACTTATCGGGATTCAGTGCGAGCCGAAGTTAAGTCAGCTGTTTTTTCTAAGCATTGAGCGGCATACTTTCTGGGTCACGGTAAACGTTTTGATCCTGGTTCTACGAACCAGAAAAATTGCTGTTTAAAGACCAAAGCGTGTGCACTTTCTTAGTACTTATCGGAAAATAAAAATTTTATGAAAATACTACACATGCTACCCTATTAGTTGATATACAGTAATTCTCATATTCTGATGATTATGCAACGATTTGAACTATACTTGTAAGCACATACTACAGCGTGCAGAGTTTCCAACAGTAAGCACTACAAAGTCAGACACCACGTCATCGATCACGTAGCTTTTGGAATTCCAGTGCATTTATCGCTTATTTCGGGATACGCACCGACATAAGCAAAGATTGTGGTTAATACACAAGAGCTGCCTCAAGTCTTACAGAATTACGTACTGCATTCTTCCGGAATATCGTAAAGTGCATAACTTGTGACCTTTCGCATACCGTACAAAAACAGCAGATATGTTCCATTCACTAGATTGCATTCTAGCGCCCAACGTTACGGGAAGCACTGATGGGGGTGATAGCTGTGAATCATCCGGTAGCGGCAGGCAAAGATAGTACGGCGTAGTGCAGTGGCGCTGATGTCTCGAGGATGTTCTGTCCTCTTTAACCTCTATGTGGTGTCTGGTCTAGCATGGCAACTGCGGTAGCAGTGTGCCATGGTAGCAGTGGGTTTGCTATCGACAATAATCAGTTGGTTTATGTGCGCCCTCAGTGGCGGATCAGTATCTTACCGCCACCATGAATTCGTGGCAGATAGCAACACCGGCCCATGCAACGGTTACAAGCAACATCCCGTGGCGGGGGATTGCTACATAATAAAAAAGCGATATTAGACGGCGTCTAATAGACGCGTAACAAAGCGTGTAAGTATTAGGCAAGCTTTATTAAAAAAATTAATGGTTTTTACTTTACCTACATGGCCAAACGGGATTATCTGTAGTAAAGGCTTACGACAAGCGTGTGTGTTATTTATGTGCTAATTTTGATTGGGCTAGTTTTAATAACTTTTACAAGACCGTCATTATTCGAAACTAAGCCGAGGTTCCATTTGCCGTTATATTAAAAATTCTACCAACCGGAATGTTAGCATTGAGGAATCGAGAAAAATTGATTAAAGCATAACTCCAACTTGGTAAGCAAGAGGTGGCAATCAGTCTTCCGTTTGTTATAGACTATAGTCCTGCTAAGCTTCTGTTGTGCATTGCCCGCAAAAAGCGAGTGCACTTTCATAGTATTAAATAGTCGACCGAAACGCAGGTCTTTTACGGGTATGTTCAAAACTTCAAGAATTATAAAAAATGTGGTGTCTGAGCGTCGGCCACCTATATACATACACGGTGCTGACTGCCACCAGGTGCAAATATGCAAGGTTGCAGTATATGTATATTGAAGCTACATGTAACTCGTTGTGTTTGCGCGTCGCTCACCGCCACCAAATGCACATATGCACGGTGGCCGTATATATCCACTCATGCCACATGAAACTCTTGGTATCTGTCCGCCCAAGCGGTGACCGATTAGTCAAAATTTAGACTGATTCTGTATGGGAACGCTAATTTTCCAGCCAATCCGTTATCGTTCCGAACTACTACTAGTGTGAC